AAAAATTTTGAAATTTTACATTCGAAAAAATTATATCCCATGTAAATTTTCAATTGTCAAATTTCTTCCAATTTCTTTACAAATTCGATTGTGCCCCCTAACTTTAAAATTCTGCGTCCGCCCCTGCATGCATGAGATTGTTTTCAGAATTAAAATTAGTCAATTTGTTTCCTAGTTTTTAGAGGTCAAGTTTTCTCATATTTTCATATTTTTCACACGATGGATGGCTGCCATTGAGTACATGCCATCGATGATGGAAAGAGATACCTATGGGTTTTGGTAGGTGATGTAATATTCCATAGTCACGGTGCGACGCAGCGCAATTTTTTGTAACAATTGAATCCCATCTAATTTCAGCTATGGAGTTTCCGTAACTTGTGACGTCATGGACTTAATATTCATCATTGTAGGGATATGGTTATGGGACAAAACTTCCGGTCATAATCACTGACGGATTTTTCTTGTGTACCTTTGATACTATACGACTCTAAGATAAAAACCCTTATAAGTCACCTCGAATTCTCATTCTACGAGTACGGCCACATGGTGATCAAAAAGTCTTTATTAAGATGCCAAAATAAAAAATGTATAGGGAACATTTTCAAGAGTTTTCAAGTTGTATATTTTCCAATGAAATTTCACCTCATTTTATAGTGTAAAATTCAACCCGCCCCATTAATCCTTTCAAAATAAGTTACACTATATAATTAAATATTTTATTTTTGTGTTTAATCTAAAATTTAAAACCAACACAAAACTGAAAATTAAATCATAATTTATTTTGAGAGCTTAAAGCTTTTAAAACTGTTACAACAGATTACACGAATATTCGGCTAATTTCCAACCTTGCGAACCCAAAAAGATTCGGATGATGAAACTCTGTACAGAATTTCTTATATTTGGGCTGGGCATTAATTCCCCCCCAAAAAACTTGAGAGAAAAAGGAGATTCTAAATGATAGCAGTCATTTTGCTCTAACTTTTGATGCGAAGAATATTGCAAGTCATTGTAATTGCACTACAAAGAAACAATTTCCTGCACATCATCTTCCAAGCTAGAATATGCCTACATAGCACCAAATGGTGGCGCCACTTCTCCACGAATTCAGGCAAAATCATGCCAACGGATACTATTTCCGGCTAAGACAACTTTTTTGAGGGGTCGACTGAGCCCTGTGATTCTGGAACCCTCACTCTGATTGAACAACAGTTAAGACTGGAAAAAGAAGCAGGACATTAGGGGCCATACAAGTCCTGCAAATGTAAAAAAGGTTCAATTAGTTCACCACCAAGCAAAATATAATTCAAATTGCTCAGATATTGAAAAATATCAGAACTTCCGAAAGATCATATCGACATCCTCTTACTTCATATAGATATATTATATATATGTTACATCCTCGATATAAGGCTAATCAATACAGTTGATAAAATAACAACTTGGATCAGCATCAACCATTATTCTACTGAGCTCTTGACCAAAGCCCACTTGCACACGGCAAATTCACATTATAAAGAGTGGGTGAAATCTTAAAGAATTTACTCAACCAAATTTATATATTTCCTTTTCTGGTGTTGTAAATGATTAAGATAAAGAGAATAGTAACCAGTTGAGGACCTGAGGTCAAACCATGACAGACTATTTGTTGTTACAATTTCATACGCATTTAGCCTTCCCTATCATCATCATTTAGATTCACACATCGTATGGAGCAAAAAGAGATCAGAGATTTGGACATCTAACACAAATTGTTAACATGTAAATTCCCAAGTTTCTGCAAATGAGAATTTAGAAGATGTTGCAATAGATGCAAGGACCAACTACTTCCAACTTCAAATCAACAAGGCGTCCTTAATATGACTTGGACTTGAATTTAGCGACAATACCCACCATAACTGTTGAG